AGTCATAAGGATGCATTTTAAAACTGGACAGCCCAGCATGCATCATGTCTGATATGCTCCCTGGAATGGAAAAAGGGGAAGAATGAGGAAAAAGAAAACCTAGCTACCCAGAGCTGATCTGAGGAGGGTGTGGGGCCTGGGCCAAATCAGCCCATGTGAGGCCCCGCCCCGATCCAACGGGCTCCAGACCCAAAGAAGCCGCTGCTGCCATTGGCAGCAAGGGGGGGGGCAGGCTAAGCAAGTGGCTGGACAAGCCACCACTGCCCCACCCTACTCCTTGGGGCCCCCCTGAAGTGTGGGGCCCAAGGCAGTCGCCCCCAATTCGCACCCCCTAGGGACAGCTCTGTAGTTACCTATAAAGTATGTATATTTGGTATGGCAATGGACACAAGTTAATTAAAAGCTAAACTAATTAATTTAGTGCCTGTTATAATTAGTAATAACTAAATAGCAAGGGACACTGATAGCGGAGAAAATTCTCTCTCAGCTCCTGTAATGAGACAAAACTACATGACAGAGGCCAGCTCTATCTTTTCGGGTCTTGGCTAAAGAACAGTGTCAGAGTGCCCTCGCGCCTACTATTCAGAAAAAGTCTTTCCTGTGTGGCACTCATGGGCTTTCAAAAGTGGACTCAGTAGGAAAAGTCACTCAGATAACCAGAAAGATGAGTTTAAAAAGGAACATTCTAGAGCAGGGGAGAGAGGTAGTTAGACAAGTTGGTCTGATGTCAGACTATTAGCAGCGAATACATGCACACACATTTAAGCTAAAGCATGATGCAGTAACAAGAATAAATGGGTACACATTGTACATAAACTAGGGGTGCATCAATATATCAGTTGGGTATTGAACAGCACCAATAAAAGGAGAAATTACACTATCAGCAATTGGCTTTTCCTGGTCATTGTAGCCAATAATCATGGCCATGTGCCTAGAGCACGCTGGCAAGCATAGTCCAGTTGCTGCACCCTTCCACCAGCCCAAGCCTGTGGCAGATTACAGGTCGTGGTGAGCAGTGGGAGAGGGAGAGGAAAGGGGCACAGGGCGCCATGCTCAGCAACGAAGGTGCCATTACCGATAAAGGTGCACCAACTGCTGATACAATACGGACCATCGATAAAAAAGGACAATAGACATTACTGGAAATTGGCTTTTTTTTTTTTGGCTGATGTGGCTGATAATGTCACTGATAAGTGCTGTGTGCATACACGCAGCCACAGCACGCACATGGCCAGGAATGCAGGCCAACAGCATGGAGACCAGTGTCCGTCCAGCAGTCTGGAGACCAGCATCTAGCTGGTTAGTCTGGGGGAGGTGGCAGATCCTCCCCTCACTGTGGGGGCCTCAAAGTGGGGGTAGGACAGGGGCAGGCACTGCCCAGCCAGGGCAAGACATGGGCCGGAGCCAGGGGCAGCTTATTCAGGTGGCACAGGGAGAAAGGCAGCTTCCCACCTTGCACACACCCCTGGGTGAGGCATGCAGGGCATGTGCCCCCCCCCAGATTTGTGCACAGGGCAAGGGCGGGCAGTGCTAGGAAGGTGCGCTACATCAAGTTTTGGTGTGGCTGTAGCCCATCCTACAGCCTCCCTCCTAGCCCTGAGCACAGCCCCTGCTGGGAAGAAGCCAGCACAGCTCCCAGCCTGCAGGCAACCCGCCCTTGCCCTGTGCACAAACCCAGGGGGACACAAGCCCCATGCCTCCTTCAGGGTGTGCACAGCAGTGGGAACCAAACCCCCTGTATGAGCCACCTGTGGCTCCATCTTGCCTGCCCCATGCCTACTTCCTCCCTCACTTGGGGGCTTCAATTGGCTTCCCCCACACACTGCTTCCTTCCCTCACACCCCTCCCCATCCCCCACAGACTTACTGGCCAGACGCTGGTCTCCAAGTTGCCAGGTTGCATACTGGCAATCAGATTAGCATCAGCCAATATGGCTAGTTAATAAGTTGACCATTGGTATTGGCCTCCCAAAAAAATCTTTACTGGTGCACCCCTAATTACTGGCTCCTGTCACTGCCATGGCAATGCCATATTCACAGCAAGGGCCAGAGTACCAGGGCTCCTGCAGAGATGGTGGGCTGCATGGGGGTGGGGTAAAGCCATGTGCAAGGGACATTGCACTTTACCGGGCACATCTGCAAAAGCAGCTTTTCCCCAGAGGCTGTGGGAGCTCAGCTGTGCAGGGCCTACCAGTGCCGAGGCAGCAGCATATCCTGGGGCTCCAAACGTGCCCAGCGCTGCTGTCCATGAAAGACTCTACCCCACCTGCCAGGGACCGCAGCACAGGCTGTAGGTAGGAACCGTGGGCAAGGTACATGGGAATAAGGCAGTCTCTGCCTTCCTCAGAGGGCCAGAGCAGGCAGGAGGTGCGAGTGCATGCATGCACGTACGTTAGATGTAAAAACAAACAAGAAAGGTTCACGTATGTCAGTAGTTTAAAAATGCCGTACACCATTACTAAATAATCAGTTATCAGATCAGCATTCGCCGATATAGTTAGTTAATCATCATCTATCAGTATCAGCAGACCCCCAATAAACACACTTACGTTGGAAATTCCAAGGTGCCTAATCAAAGATATTCTACACAGCCTTCCAGGGACACCTTGGGGAAGTCAGGCTGGATACCAAGTGAGGTCTGAACACCATGAAATGGAATTGAGGAGATATCCTGCGACAGCAGGGGACAAAATTCCGTGACCTGGAAGTTCTTGTCACTCCTATGTTGCTGATCAACTCCCAAAAAACTTGCTTGGGAAGTGTTAAAAGCCAAGAAATAGTTTGCAAGTTCTGGCAGCTCTACAACAGTGGTTCACCAACTTTTTGGATGGATGGATCACTGTCAGCCTTCAAATCTCAAGGACTATTATACACCCTTATCAGATGCATACACAGTTAGTCCAATAAAAGCAGTCATCAGAAGCACCTCACTGCTTACATAGTTTCTGAACAACCACATCTACAGGCTTGCTTTTTTTTTTATTGGAGTAAGAAAACTTCACACACTGTTCATGGATTGGTAAGAGAAGAAAGGCATCATTCTACTAATATATTTTACATGTTTTGTATAAATACAAATAAGCATGTATTGAAATCACTTTACATTAAATTTGGTACCAAATATGCACTACCAGGAGATACTGCACCAAATAACCATGCTATCCTATGACAGGATAGTTCTAGGATTAGAGCTATTTATTATCATCGTGAAAGGAAGCTAGTTCCTTTAGACTGCTCTTGCCTTCACTCACGTCAAGTA